TACCTTTTTAACTACTAACCTTTATTCCTTCTACTAGTCCTTCTACTTATCCCTCTACTCCCTCTACTAGTCCTTTTACTTATTACTCTAGTCCCTCTACTAGTTCCTCTACTTATATATATAATTTACTTAGTCTATTATAACCTAGCTTTAGTAACATGGAATTACAAGTAGTTATTAGAGCTCTTAAGGGTAAGGATATTTATAATATTAGTAGTAATAAGGAATCTACTAGTAATAATTAGTAGTTTTCTTTCTTTTTTCTCTCTTTAATTTATATATAAAGATTAATTTAGTATTAATATAGGCCTAGTTTTTATATAGATTTTTATAATACCTATTAGGTCTATATATTTAAAAGGGAAAAGCGCTATAGTAGAAGCTTTAGTAATACTTTATGTATAAGTAAAAGTTTATATATTAATTTTACGTTAACTTAATTACTTTTTATATAGCTTCTTAATTATATCTATATATATTCTCTATTTCTTTACCTACTAAAATTATAGATTCTCTAAAATCCTTAGTTCTCTAATTAAGTAATATTTTATATACTAGTAGTTTAGTAGGGTAGGAGAAGTGGTAATAAGTACTAACTACTCCTTAGATAGTTATATATTACTCTACTATATCGTAGTATTTAATACTCTACTATAGGATCTATTAGTATATCTTTCTCTAATATAACCTAATATACTTTATTTAAAATTATTAAATTACTACAAACGTTATAACTTAGTTATATTATATATATAGCGTCTAACCTTTCTTATCTAAATTAGCTCTAGCTATATTACTTCTACTATAAATAGGTCTTAGTATAAAGGTTATATATATTAGATAGCCCCTTACCTAGGAAATTACTATCTTCTTTTATCTTTAATATATATCTTAATAGACTCTCCTACCTTTTCTAATAGTTCTTAATAGTTCTAGATAACTTTTACTCTCTTTAATTTATTCTATCTATTATTAAATTAAACCTTCTAGTAAACTCTATTATATTATACTATATAAAATTCTATTATTACTCTTACTTATACTGCCCTCCTCTATAATATCTAGTTTAGCTCCTAAGGTAAACCCTTTCCGCGTTAGTAGTAGTAGACTTTATACTATGTATACTATAAGTAGTTTATATATATCCTTACTTAGTGAAGTTAAAATTAATTATTTTATAAGATAATTAGAAGGAGTTACTTTCCCTATTTAATACTATTAGCTTCTATATCTAGGTAGAATATAAGATAACTATAATATATAAGGCTATTAAGTATAATATATTTACTAAGATTCTAGGAGAGTATATATTCTATTTAAATATATATACTATACGATTATAATAGTTACTAGCTAAGTTAATTTCTATAATTAGTAAATATAAGGTAACTATAGGTTAGGACCCTATAAATAAGAAGAAGGTTAACTTTAAAACTAGAGAGTCTTATTCTATTACTTTATACTATATTAAGAAAAAGTACTTTTTTATAATAATATATATTAATTTAAAAGCTAGTTAAAAGGATAGTAAAGTAATAGTTATTACTAATTAGTAAATAAAGATTATTCTAATAAATTAGAATAAATAAGTAGCTATAAGAATTTATACTTCTTTATAAGCGATTTTAAGGTTAGATTCTAAATACTAAAATTAATCTATTATATACTAGTATAGTAATTAATTATATAATAATATACTAATACCTTATTGTAACGAATACTCAAACTGGCTAACTAAACTTGGCTTGGTGTTCGCTGGTTGGTATGCTATGATAAGAAGAAGACTATCGGGTTGTTCACTTGGAAGTGAACTCGTTACTTGTATCAAAGATGTCAAACTAATATGATAAGATTGATAACTAAGTTGAGCACGAAGCTCCTATCTAATGGCAGACGTGCCAGTCTTATATAGAACCTTCGTTCTCTCTACATCGCCTACATCACCTGTCGATGTAGTCGACCTCCCATCGCTAACATCGACTGTCGATACAGGCGATGCGATTGATCACGTGACTACATACCCGAGAAATCCCTGAATCGCTTAGCTAGTCTAAGCATCCCTATTTGCTATAAGAAACCTGGATGTGCCTGTCGAGGGTTGCGCCTCTTTATTATGACAAGTATCACGTGAGCATGTGATTCGTGACATCAAGGGATTTTAGTATTCCTGCCCGACCTACTTTTCCTTCCTAAAGTAGTAGGTGTTCAGAGTTTAACGTTCTAGACCTTACAAAGGATTCTAGAGTCTATTTTAGGGATCCGAGGAACGAGGGAAAAATCTACATCGAGACGAGAGTATTATACTAGATTGGGATTTATTTAAGATAAAGTAAGTAAACTATTCATTCCTTAAGGTTTATATAACAAATAAACTATTTGCTAATAACAGCTATACTACTATAGTCTCTAAGAAATGCTTCTAGAAACTTCTTAATACCTATAAAGCTAAAAGGAACGTGTTTAGATTATTTAGAGACATTAAAGCTACACTTCTAGTTTACGTGACTTAACGAATTAGGTTCCAGAACTCTTACTATTAGAAGTAAATTTTATATATATTGCACTCTAGAAAGCTACTACTAAAAAGGATTAGATATTAAGAAAATTTAACGATAAAGAGAATAGACTAAATGAACAAGTCTATCGTTGAAACTCGGACTTCTGTAAAAATCCTAGGCGTGGAATTACTTCCTACTTTTACGAGTATAGATTTATTAACTATAGAGACTTGGAGTCGGACTTTTCTTCTTAATAATCTAAGGTTTATAATTCATTTGAATCGCGCGACTATCACCTCGTAAGTTGATTCCTACCTCTTCCTCCTATTTTACGCCTTCCGTAGTGGTTATAAATATGGTTTTACCAAGGTTGCTATAGATTCGTTGAATTACTACTTTCTTTTCTTTTGAAAATTTAACGTGAATTTAACTCGCAAAGTCGACAATAGTTAAGAATTCGACAGCAACTATAGGATAAAACTATTCAAAGAATAATATGTTCATGACCGTATATCCTTTGTAACCTCGCCTAATTTCTAAGACCTCTGGTTATAATAACCAATACTAGTTTAAATATCGCTATCATTACTAATTAAGACTACTATTGTTTGAATACGTGCTTGTTCAAGTCCAAAGCTAAGAAATCTTAGAGCATATAATTCTATATAAACAAATTCCTATGAACTTCTAAAGAAACATATAGATAGTATCTATATTCGTAACTACTAGGAATAATAAATATATTAAACCTAAGGCTACGAATCCGCGAGTAGCCTCAAATGTGTGTTTTAGTACGTAAGATTTTACCACTGTAAGTATTTGAACCCCTATATTCTATTGAGCGGAACGTTAATCAAAAGTTCATTAGAATATCCTATTTATCATGGCTTTGAATATGATACATTCCAGCCCTTCTTGAAACGAATTAACAAGACCTAAATGTAGGAAGCAAATCCGTAAGGATACAGCCGAGGTTATCCTTATATCTAGTTTTATCTATCTCTTAAATAAAAACCATCAGCACCCCTAAAGTGTCATCCATCAGATGTTATTATGAAAACCAGCAAATACATCGTCATTAATATTACTGTGTCTATCCGTTTCTCCAACTTGGTACAGTTCCGTATAGACAAGGTTAAAGTCTCTCAAAGTGTACGTGGAAAGAGTAGTACTTCTTAGATAGGAGGTAGATTAGGAATGAATAATAGATGGGAAATGGTGGTAGATGTTATTTCGACGATATATCCGGTAGGTTCACTATACAAATCTACGAAGCTATAACAGCTATAAATTCCTAGCTAAAAAGAAAACAGGAATTTTGACCTCCCCTGACTGACTAATAAAACCTACTTAGCCCCTACTTACCTACTTCTCCATTTACTCACTTTTCCATTTACTCACTTCTTTATTTCTTCACTTGCTTAGTCATTTATACATTTATTTATTTGCTTACTTATTTACTTACTCACTTAACCAAATATTCACTTACTAAGCCACCCACTTACCTACTTTCTCATTTGCCCACTTCCTCACTTCACCATATACTTACTAACTGACCCACTCACTTACCCCCTTCCTCACTTACCCACTCACTCACCATTCATCCGCTAACCCTCTGCTATACAGCCAAGAGTCGCACTTCAACAAACCAGCTCCTAGCCAGTACTTGTGATTCAAGCCATTCAAACCTCATCAAGTCAGCTTGCTAACCACGAAGGGTCTACACAGGAATAGAGATGTGACCTGGAACTGTCGAGGAACCATCAAGATTTACTCGTAGTCTCCATACAGGAAGAGTGGTTCCAAATTCCAGATGTATTTATGTTTCCGAGTTTGAGGGGGGCGTGGGTGTAAGTTTAACAGAGAATATATCTCAAATAAAAAAGAATTCGCCACAAAACAAAACAAAACAAAGCAAAATATGAGTCCACTCATATCCTACCTCCCTACCAGAAGTGACCGGTTCCTCAGCCAGTACCCGATATTAGAAAACCATAACAAAAAGCCAGGAAAACAATCCCTATCATCACCCCCTCCGCCCGGTTCCCTCAAAAGAAAATCCTTAGACCTGAGTCCCTTGTATTCTTACCAAGGAGCAAAACCGAGCTAAAGGCGCGGGAGTGATTTTCGTTCTCGATTTGCGTTCAATTACTGCAATGATTATTGAACTTCATTGGATACAACCCAGATATCTACCTCGAGCCTGGTTCTGAGTGGGCTCTTGAACAACAAAATTGAGGACTGAAACGCGAGGGCGCGATACGTACTGTACTGTAAAATATTCGTTGAATGTCGTGCGTGGTTGACGTTGCATGTCTGTGGTTGAGAAGAACCCTCGGCTGGCACGTCGCAAAAGCGATGCCAGGGGGTAGATCAAAACACATGTAATCTTCCTTGGATATTAGAATTAAGAAGGCTTCTAGATTCAAACCCAAAATTTCTATCTACCTACACCCACTTCAAAGAATCATCTATTCATACAAGGGGTATCAGCGTAACATATCAATCAGAGTACGCGATATCCTCACAATTCCCCTCTCTAATTCCGTCAGAGTCCGAGAATCTCTTTTCATACAAAGGCGGACCATCATCAGGAGGCCAAACCACCAAGCCGAAGTTACTTTCCTCTTTGCTCCTTCGAGATTCAACCTTGCTCCATTTTTCAATCTTTAAAAGCTCACACATCTCATCTGATAACCCAATATCTGGCTCTGACTCTGGTACTGGCTCTGACTCTGACTCTTGCGGCTCACTTGGACTTGGTGCTGGTGTTGACTCTCTGTCTGGAATAGAACTTATTGAAACTTTTAATCGGCCGTACTTGTCTTTTGCCGAGAACCCTAGAATAAGAATGGAATGCAACTCTTTGAGTGCTACGGCTGGGTCAATCATTAAGTAGTGCTGAACCCTGCAAATGGTCTTTTCTATGTGCATTAACACTCCCTTGCCCGGTCGAAGGCCGTGGAAGTCGTAATGTTGACGAACGACATCCCGGATGATGGCTGGGACCTCAGAAAGCAGCAGCTTGTTAGAAGCGGCATACCGTAATTGTGCCTCGTCTTGATACTTTGCTGTAGTAAGGTCAACACTCTTGATTTCTGCAGGAATCACTGAGAGAATAGTTCCCGCATGGCGAGTCCTGTCGGCGAGGAGATGTGCCATGGCAAAAACCTGGGAACTCAAGAGGGACTTGGCAAGGATATTAAATTTCTGCTCAGCAATTTTGCTTTCGAGTTCAAGTATATCAGGAAGACCCGCCTCCCCAAGTCCTAGGATATAATAGCAGTAAAACCTGGAATACCGTGACAGTAGTAGAGCAAAAGACAACTTCCGGGGTTCGTCACTTTCGGGTAGACGACCATATTCCCAACCTGTCAGAAGCTCGAAGATCTCATTCATATGAGCTTCATTTTCCAACCAAGGAAATACGCGGACGGCAGGTGCTGATCTTTTGCTGCGTACGAAGTGTAGTTGTAAATGTCTCATTGCTCTCCCGAAAAGCCAGCTTCGAATGTCTGCTAGAGGTAGGTATTGACGAATGGCCGGCAGAGACCCACACTTGGATGCGTAGTAGAGTGCCGCGTTAATCAAATTCCGACTTGGTGTTATACCTCTGCTGATGATATTGTTATATACATCATTGAGCAAGAGAAGGCACTCCGAGCTTTTGCTCGTTGGTCTCCATTTAGCAGAACCTTGCGCTGAAGGTATGAGAGTTCGGGCGAGGTGTTGATTTAAGATGTGACATCCTTCGCGCGTAGAAGACAAAATATCAACCACGCGGCGCCGTTCCAAAGTATTGGTACATTGGAGCAACTGGCGTTCGAGCTGATTCTTGGAACTATTTGTTGATAGCTCTTCCTGGCTTAGCTGCTTGTCCGAAGAATCCAACGGTATATTCAGTGCTAACTCGTTTATACGGTCTTGCTCAGTAGCGCCCGTCTGCGGTCTTTGGGCCCGGAGAAAAGCTCCCATGAAATGGCTTTGAAGTATGGCTGAATCATTCGAGTTTCCCAAGAGCGCGTATGCCAAAACTTCAGGATGAGTTGCGCCAAGATCCCCCTCTCTCCTCTCTCTCCTCTCCTCCTTATCAACACGTTTTATCTTATCATGCTTCTTTTGGTACCATAACAACGAATCGCGAGTGACTGCGACGGCATATGGGATGACATATGGACTATCAACAGCATCAAGATCAGTGACCAGACGGTGCAGATTAACTGGCTCAACTTTGTTCGCGGAGGGGACCGTGGGAGTAGTGGGGTGGAGCGGTGGATAGGTTTCGGTTGGCGTATCTGTGGTATTTGAACGGTGGTCACTAGTGTACCACTTTCGGCCAGCGCGTTGATGAACAAGACATTGATCTCTTATGACATCCGGTAACAAGAATCTAGAGGCTCGCATTTCGTTGCCGTTGCCGTGTTCATCGCATTCTGGCAGTTCAAGGAATTGAGGTCCGCGAAGGGAAATGTGGAGAAAGATTCTGGGGAAGTGGACGTGGTGGAGTGAATTGGAGATTTATTGGGACCTGGATGGGAAGGGCTCGGATAATATTCGGGGCTTTGAGGATAAAACCACGGCTTATTCTGCTAAATCCACCCTAAAACTTGGGCTCGCCTGCATACTCATAGAGAACGAACGTCACTTTTCCTCTCTCATCTCGCATACCAAAGATAAACACCACGACCCGCACCTTACTTCGACAATACAAACATCTAATATGCCACCAGCAAAGAAGCGCAAGACCAGAACAACTGCTGAACCAGCAGAGGAAGTTCAGGAGGCACCTAGTCCCACCAAGGCCCCGTCGCAGCCAGAACCCGAGCCAGAAAAGACAACATCAGAACCCGAGCCCACCGCCCCGAGTACCTCAGATGCCGCCGCGAAAGCCAAAGAGAGAGCAGAGCGATTCAAGGCCCTCCAGGCGCGCGCAAAGACTGGCGCTCAGAAGAACCTCAAAGAAGCTACCCTCGAATCACAAAGACTAGCCACCGACCCAAACCTTCTCACCTCCCTCAATCGCAAATCCGCCATCGCCTCTCACAACTTGATGAAAGCCGACGCCGAGGCAGCCGGCGAGGATTTCGAGAGGAAACGAGCGTGGGACTGGACGATCGATGAGAGCGAGAGGTGGGACAAACGGTTAAAGAAGAAGGATGCGCATCGCGACGACCAGGCGTTTCAGGATTACCGACAGGATAGTAGGAAGGTTTATAAACGTCAAATACGCGATTTGAAGGTGGATATGGAGGGCTATGAAAAGGAGAAGATGAAGGCAGTTGAGAGGGCTGCTGCGAGTGGTGGTCTGGAAATTGTGGAAACTGATGATGGGGAGCTGGTGGCTGTGGATAAGAATGGTACATTTTACTCTACAGCTGACTCTACTGGATTCGTTGAACATAAGCCCCCAAAAGATGCGGTCGATAGACTGGTCAAGGACTTGCAACAGGCAGAGGAGAATAGACTGAAAAAGAGGAGAGAAAGAATGGGCGCAGCAGAAGATGGTGATGTTACATACATCAACGAGAAGAACAAGAACTTCAACAATAAGCTGAATAGATTCTACAACAAGGTATCTCTGCTGCAACACTTTGTTCTTTTCGGGATCTCATACTAATATTTTACAGTATACTGCGGAAATTCGCGACAGTTTCGAGCGGGGTACAATGATATAATTCATTGCTGGATTGAGAAGAGCCTTTTTCCCAAAACCCGGAGTGGTGTTGTACCATACATAATCAAAGCGTTTTGCCCGAGCTTTCATATTCTATAATGCCGTTGCCAAAGCTTGTGCTCATCAAATCATAACATTCCCTTCCTCCAGGCTTTTTGAGCAAGCCCCTCAATTTCCTTGACTTCGACTGGCCCCTTGACGTTCTCATCACTCAGTGCTTCAACCAAGGCCTCAGCAACAACGTCAGCTTTCAAAGGCTTCGCTGCAGCTGCACCCAGAAATCCACCAAAAAGTCCCCCCGTGATACCATTGAAAACTGTCGTCGCCCCAGTTATCGCCGCCATTGGAATCGTAATAATTCTGGAGCTGTCATATAGTAAAGGCGATCTTATAAACACCCCCCGCATTTTGGGGAACTCGCTTGAAATGGTACTCTCTGCCGCTCTCTTCGATTGGATATATCGTTCAGGTAAAACTGGCGCCCCGCCAGCAGCACTAACGTACGCAAAAGCCTTCACGCCCTCCTTATTTGCTTCCTGAGCCAAAGTAATGGCCGAATCCCTATTCATTAATTCATATGTTATTTGCCCATCTTTCTCCTGCGACTTCAGGTCTTCTGCGCTTTTTCTCTGCAGTGGATTTTGAGAACCAGCTTTGGTAGCTGAGAATGCGCGTTTTAGACCAGCGACTGGTGATTCCCTTCCTGATATGACGCCTTTGTAATCTGCTTCCAGGAGAATGCCCATGCTGTGGGCTACATAGTCGGCTTGTTTGAGAAGGGGTGCGTAGGTGGACGGTTTGAGGATGTCGGCGGATTCCCAGGTTACTTTGTGGGACCAGGACGGAGGGGAGGGCGAGGATGTTACGGAGGACCATTGGGGTTCGCCTGAGCGACTGTTTGTAAATTAGAGATATTTCACAAAAAACCTGTTCAATTGAGAAGCAAATGTACCTGATGGATGTTACATCCCAACCCCTCGCAACAGCACTTTTGCATACTCTGCTGCCGAGAAATCCATTTCCGCCACAGACGACTATTCTTTTGGTGGCCATATTTACGAAAGCTTTGAAAGATTTGTGAGGATATGAAAGAAAGAAAAAGGATTATGAGTCAAGTCAATTGATTGTGTTTCGAAAGTTATAGAAATCTTTTCAGCGGCACAGCACAGCTGATGGAGAAGAGGTGGGTGGAGTGATGGTGTCGTCAGTGCAGGGCTGTGGGGGGTTTTTTGAGCTGTTGATCCCTGTATATATGCTCGCTCAAAGCCGAAGATTAGCCCTTTGCATGCGCCTTTGTTGCTATGCTACTTCCAGTAATATACGAGATAGAGCGAGGTTATCTAGACGACTGGAGGGTAAGAAGTGATCCTCTTCTGCTCTATGTAGGCAAGATATCGCGAAAACCTACAGGAGTTCGTCTCCATAAGAATCCTCTCCTCAGCCTCCGATCTCCCCGTCAATCACCGGCAAGCCACCCGTGCCTCATGCTCCTGCACAACGGGATTACCCTGTAAAACAGCCTTGTAGTGGATAATCGTTATTCCGCTTACATCTCAGCCTTGCGCCTTGACATTTAACTATCAACATCGAAGAAGTCATCAAATACAGCAACCCTCTCATCATCGCTCCACGTTCACGAACGACTCCTATACAAATCATGGCGCCTCTGAATCAGGGGAAGCGCTGTAAAGGCATCCAAATCTTCCGTCCCTTCGTCTATGGCACAACTGCCAAACTCTTCGACCCAACCACAAATCCAAAACCTGAGGGAACGCCCGACGACCATACGCATTCATGGACGGTGTTTGTCAAGGGGGTAGATGATACGGATATCACATACTGGTGTAGAAAGGTGCAATTCAAACTCCACGAGTCGATTCCGAATCCCCTGCGGAGTACGCAATATCCCCAACTGATCCCAAATCAAGTCTACAGAATGAAACTCAACTAACACTCGGACAGTGATCGAAAATACCACCCCCGGAACGCCCTTCCAAGTCCACGAAACAGGCTGGGGCGAATTCGAAATTACAATCAAACTCTACTACGTCCCGGAATCCTACGAGAAACCACAGACCTTCTACCACCACCTACGTCTGCATCCCTACGGAGTCACCGAAGCCGAGAAAGAAGCGATGCGCATCTCGCCTCAGATCATAAGCTGGGTGTACGAAGAGCAGCTCTTCAATGAGCCCTTTGAGTCGTTCTATGAATTGTTGACGTCGCCCGTGGATCGGAGTAAAGGGACGACGGGCGGCAAGGGGAAGGGCACGAGACTTATGAAGGGGGGTATGGTGAGCAGTACGGGTGAGAGGACGGCGTTGGTTCCGCTGGCTAGTAGGCCGGGTCAGCCGTTTAGTCGTGAGACGGAGAAGGCGGAGATTAAGAGGTTGAGGGAGGCGCAGGGGAAGGTGGAGGAGATGGTTAAGCTTGCGCAGAAGGACTTGCAGGATAAGGAGAAGGAGTTGGCTGCTTTGAAGGCGAGTTGATGGGATGTCTTTTTCTTTTTGGGGTCTAGGCTGCGGTTCTTGAAATCGGGTGTTTGGGAGTTATAGGTATACCAAAAGGACAAGATGTTATCGGTCGAGGGGGAACGTGGTGGGTGGCCATAGTGGGTTTGTATAGTACACTTCCTACCTCTTCCCAAGAGCTAAACAATGAAATTTCAAAGCAGCTCGCGAGGATTTTCTACAAATCACAGGTGCTGTAGTCCAACCAAGATTCAACCAAATTAGATACTAACATAGGATCACAACATGAGGAAGGATGTGTATAGCCTAGTATTTTGATAGCCATGGTAGCATATAAATAGACATGCTGGCGATCTGGGGAGGCTAGAGGGACATGCTGGAGTGGGTGGGGGGAGGGGGG